ATGTTATTGTCCCTTCTTCTAATAGACTATAAAGCTGCTTCTACGGCCTTAAAACAGACTGGTTTACAACTAGTGTATGGATGTCTATGATAGATATTATTACATAAGATACAAGATGTGTGACTGATAGAACACCAATTGCTCAAATTGAGGCCTGAGTATACTGAAGTCAACATGTAAAGTCCAAGTTGTGGCCCAAGTACCCCAAGTACCCCAAGTATATAGACTTGGGTCAAGTCTGTGGACTTGGGGCCAAGTACACGGACTTGAGGCCAAGTACACGGACTTGAGTCCAAGTACACGGACTTGAGGCCAAGTACACGGACTTGAGTCCAAGTACATGAACTTGGGCCCAAGTATGGGTCCAAGTCCGTGACATTTTCCTGATGTATGCTGTTAGCGGCGTGACAAAAGTTATGAATGGGAGGAACACGCACGTTGCACGATGCCGCCCTGTTTTCTTTGACCGCTCGTGCACAGGTCCCACCGGTTGGAACATATCGGTAAATCGTTGTCCTCGTGAGGAGATCACGGGCCCCACCAGGCGCACACGCTTCAATGTGACACCAATAGTTCCCAATTCAGGGGCACTGTCTGCCTGCTGAGCGTTATCCTCTTCTGAAAGTCGCATGGTGAATGATTAGCAGTAGATCAATCTCCTTTAGGAACAAAGGCGAACCAGTTGTTATCAAGTCGGCGAATTGGAAGGGAAGGATCACGGTCGGACTCTGGTAAACGCCTCTTCTGTAGTAAAGCACTCAGTACGCGTGTACGCGGGACTGATATATATTTATAATACCTGTAGTAAAGCACTATAGAGTGATAGTAAGCATAAGCAATCGAAGTAAGTAATAATCGTATACTCACCTCAGTACGCGTGTACGCGGGACTGAGGTGAGCTGACTGAAATCGGGGGTACTTAATACCATACTAGAACAAGACATGTACGCTACAAGATAAATGAGACGTAGCATTCGAGAACAAAGTGGGATGAATCCGCCTAGGCGCGACAAGCTGCGACAAGCCGCATCACCGGCGCGACAAGACTGTTCGCCTGAGACACGGCCGGGGCTCTCGCACCACGCTTGCCTTGCCGTACGCGTTCCAACATCTTCTACCTCCTCTTTCTCCAGGCCTCTCAAAGTTACCCTTAGTGACTTCGCTTCCATCTATGTTCATTGAGAAGAACAAAGCGTCAGTTGTTGAATTCCGCCACTCCAGCGCGAAGCTCTGGTCACGCATAAGCATGTAAGCCACAGTAGTGCAGAGAAGCCTAAGCGTTACGGATATACAGACCACTAACCTTTCCAGCCTCGCTCGGAACGAAGCAGCTCAGGGTCTTTCCCCCATCATCCTCTGCTTGGGTGTCGTACTCTGGCAAGCGTTTTCCTTCAAACGTGATCCAGACCTCGCACTTAGCAGTACGCATCATTCACAGAGGAGCGGAGAACGATTGCGACCTGCGAGCGGAGCTCGCAGAGCACGGTATATGGTGCAGTGCCGGCGATGTCGTGGCTGCTATGTAGTAATATGACAGTTTGGTCCAATGTCGAGTTTGGCAGGTGTCGGGCCGCTTGTGCGACGCGAGGTGATGATACGTCTTGTCACGTGTGCTCGGCGGCAGCCGTCTCGGCTTTCCATTGTCGTGCTTGTCCATGGCCCGTGATGTCCTCTTATCCTCTCTGTGCTATCCAACGGCCGTCATGAGTATGAGGATATTCGTACCCTTTCTTGCTTCTTTTTATCCTCAACCCATCTCGCTGCTGTCTAAGGATGCACCAACGTCCGACGCTCTCGCTCCTTTCAGCTTGTGCACATCACCTAAACAGAACGATCCGACGCGTCCATCTCTAGCTACGCTCTCATACGCGGCAAGAAGCTATCAGTGGTGTTCAAAGTGAGCAGCATGGGAGGGCGGTTCGAGCGCATGGATCGCGTACGCCGAATACTTGCCAGCCTCGCTAGGTTCGTAGCACGAGATGGCCTGGTTGTTGTCGTCGACGGCCGTCGATAACTTGTGTTCCCGCGGCTTTTCGTCTTCGGAAGTAATCCAAATCTCAAAAAACCATTGGATCTCACGGTCGCGCGCGGTCGCACCCACTAGTGACAAAACCCCCACCGAGTAGCAATCCGGCTGGAAGTTCTACATCAAGACAATGCCGACGGTCGGGACGACTTGTAGTCATGCAATATCGCGTTCAGCAGGAGCGCCAAACCGGGTTTTCGATTCCTGCCGGGCGAAGCTCGATCGACTGTGCTTGCGCTCGAGAATAGGATAGCATCTGCTATCATTCTCCGTATCTTTCTTGGTAGTATGCGCGGATATCAGATAGCAAGCCACCTCAGAGATACGGGCTGCCGAAATCAGTCTACATTCAGCAGTATACTTTCCTGGCTCCTAGGCTGAATTCACCACACCTCCGACCCCCTGAACAGGAACTTGCGGTATGGAGCCTGAGCGTGAGTGAGGTAACATGCATGAGTCGAGGCTAGGAGCACATGCAGTTCGGGTTCCGGAACTTCCTGTCTCGACTCTGATTTGCACTAGCTTCTCCTCGAATTCGCTGACAGTGCCGCTTGAAGCCGGCAATGTAGATGGACTCCCGGCCACAGAAGATCGTTTGTGGGTCACCTTTGCTGAAGACCACACATCCTCGAGTGCCACGACGGCACTTTCTGGTATTGCATCGCGTCCCTTCGGGTCCTCGCACAGGGTGACGAGCGGGTCCGCGATGAGTGCATCCAAGTCAGCGGACAACGAGGTCAGATACATTCCAGGGTCTCCCCAAGATGCGATGCTCCCCACGTCCATGCCTTTCCAGCGAAGTAGGCTATCTCCGAACGTCGACAGCGTTTCGCGCCCACGGTCAAGTATAAGCTGAACCTGGTCCGGGGGCAGTGCTGACTCCGTCGAGAGTGCCTCAGATAGGAGGCGTACGATGTTGTACGATGTTGCCGACCGCTTTCAGCCACTTGAGCAGGGACTCATAGCCTCCGCTCTCGCTCCAGTCGTTGAACCTCCATTCGCAGGCAGCGATGGCTAGAGATCGTATTAGCGGCATTTCACAGCGGCCAGCTCATGTCATGAACCATATCGGATCGCACGGTAAGAGAGGTGAGTCTCGGGACTTTTCCTTTCCGCCGAGCCCAGGATGCGTCGCCTATACTGAGAAGAGAGAGAGTGGTAATGACAAGATCACCCGCCTCAGGGAAGTAAGTCATATCCTGGAGTGAGCGCCACATCCTGTCTAATATTCTTCTGCAGTCGGGCCGCCGATCGGGATCAGTCAAGAGAAAGCATCGCAGAGCGTGTAACAACTGGCGTGTCAGCTTCTGTTTATGCCTCCTCCCCTCCGGCGGTAGGTCCGTTAGGCTGTATCCGCCCCATTGCTCCTCCCATGCGACGAAGACGTGGCGGAAGCACTGGCTGAGTTGATCTTCAGGAAGGTCAGGGAGGATGACGTAGAACGCTTGCAGATGCTCGGCCTCGAACGTGGTCGTGTAAGCCATAGTAGCGGTGCTGAGGTCGAGGGATCCAGCCGTTTGAAAGATGTCCGCCTCTTCTCTGCCCCTCCAAGTGGGCATATCCCGTCGGAGCCATCGGATGGGGATGAGAACGACTCTCCAGGTCGGTCAGTTGGGGTGACGCGCTATCCAGGATCGCGAGAGTATGTACATCTTGAGGGTCAGATTACGAAGCACATTGCGCGTGAATCGGACCACGACATAAACCAGAAGGGCCTGTGGGGAGCGATAGCAGCAATCCCACTGGAATGCAGGTAGGACCGTGATGATCACCATGAACAGGAACAGGGCCGAGACGAGAATCGTGCCCACCACGGCCACAGTGGTATCGAGGGTCCATAGCAAGATGATAAGTCCAGAAAGGAAAAGCACGAGGGCGATTTGGAGTAGTATGGATGGTGTGCGAACGATAGCCTCGACACGCCACTTCACGAGGGTGTTATGACGGTACTGTCGACGCCTTGCGCTTTCACGCGTCGTACCAGAGAGCCCTAGAGTCAACTCATGCAGCCATTGCTTCACGATGAGCGCTATAGAGGCAGAGGCAAGGCTACAGATCAGGCTCGAGAACCAAAGCGCGTTGATCCAGATAGCCGATAGGGGTGCATTGAAAGAGGGCTTGATTTCGTTGAGAGGACGAGGAATATGTGTCGAGTTGATGGATGGGAGATTCACAGAGAAGCTAGAAAGCTGGGCGGATATTTGCTGAAGTACAGCAGTAGACGTATCCGCGGACGCCGGCTGAAGAGTTTGATATGACTGCACATTAAATGCAGTGAGCACAGCTGAGAATAGACCAGCCTGCGCGAACAGATGCATGAGTCTTTATCAGCGTTCAGAGACAGTTGCACTCACGTAGATGAGTATGTTGTCCATCTCAGCTTGCCAGCGCCTCACAAGCTCATGGTGATAGATCTTCACCACTTCCGCTGACTCGTTCCAAACTTTCGCCTTCTCAGCTTCCGTAGGTCGGTCCTCGAGTTCTCTAAGGAGAGCCTGCCGTCATGTACGCAAGCGTTCAGTAGACGCAGGGCACGTGATGGGGACAGACCTACCCCCCGAGGGACGGGGCTCCAGCCGTTCGCTGGAGTATCCAGGGAGACTGATACTTCTCTGGGGAGCATATGGAGCGCCGTCGTGTGAACATCTGCATCACCGGGTTCACTTCTCTCATGATGTGTGGAAAAGATGTAGGCCATCCTCTATCAGGTTGCAACTTGACATGTTCTATCAGGTAACACGCATGTTGAAAACGAGGCTACACACCTGCGCGCTCGAAAGATGGGTAGGAGGTCGAAGAGCCCACTGGAGCGGGGTCACTGGGTAGCAGGCCATATACCTGGGGAGTAGGCTCACTCTATTCTTACATATGTCTTCCATCAGAACCTCGAGTACAAAGGCTGTGAGTACCGGGAATATCATCCGAGTCGTTGACAGGTCTGTGGAGTGAACCGAAAGCTTAAAGCCGTAAGCGTCACCGCGTCTTAACCTGCAAAGATACCGGCGATAGCAGTAGGGATGTGCAAGCCTCAGTTCAGGATGGTACCTATGTAACTTCTGCGGACTCACAAATCAGCACATTCTCGACGATGCCAGAGAGCAGTATTGTGGGGATGTGTACAAAGAGCTCTCACGTCCCAGGTATTACGTGAAGGCGTCACGTTCAATTGGGTGTCATGCTGGGATCCGAATACTTGCGTTGTTACTTATCGAGTAGTACGTGGCACAAACGAACAGAGGACTGGTTCCTGTAACGTAAAGTTCGGACCTGATTACGGTGGATGGCAGTGTACTAGTCTGTGTGGTACAAGCAGGTCTGGTGCCACCCAAAATCGGACACTACGACCGCAAAACCGCCGGTGCAGACCCGGATGGAGATGGGACCTGCACGGAGACATCAGGATGTGCAAGCAACTTGGGCGAGGCGGTATCATCAGCTATCGGCATAGTTGAGCAGGGAAAAGCACCTACAAAACTGTTCTCCTCGCCCGTCACGTTCCGGGTGACTATCTGCCTCAGCTTCTCCAATTTACCTTCGAACTCACGTATACTCCTCCTGGCATTCGGCGGTAGATACCGCCCGTCCTGTGCCTCCAGCATAGCCGGAGCCGGACTGGGAGATCGAGAGCCCTGGAGATGGAAGCGCGCATCCATCGAGGCCTTTACCGCCGTCCAGCTACGCTGCAGCGCCTCGACCGTTCCCTCGGGTACGACCTGCGCACTGCGTGGATTCTCGCAGAGGGCTGTGATTGGCTCCACGACATTGAAGCTGAACCGCAAGCGGAACCAATTGAGGACGCCGAGGTCGTCCGGGATCGACGGACTCCTCCGGGGCAAACGCCGTCTTTGTACCGGCCCCTCGCTGGGTGCTGAAATCCTGCTTCTTGGCCGTGAGGGATCTAGCGTAGCTGTTGGTAGCAACTGCTCCCAATCGAACGAATTCAGATTTTCCTTGAATGTAGACAGAACGACCCGTGTTTGTGAGCATACGGCCTGCGTTTGCTCCGGTGAAAGAAGAGTGTAGGGGAATAGCGCCTCCTTGGCGCATACGAGGATGCCATACAGCGGTCTGAGTTGGTACTCGAGGAACATATCACGGTCCATGGCGGCCGTGGATGGTTCGGGTTTCCACTTGTCGAAGTACCACTGACACGCAGTCACCACTGGACGGCAATGAATACGTGAGTTAGACCCTAACAGCGAATAATACGCATATAGAAACGATTGAGGTCGACGCACCATATCGGATTGAGCGATAGGAAAGGCGATAGCTCACCTTCCTATGCTTCAGCGCCGTATGCATCTTCTCATACCCCTTCCTCACCAACTCGCCGTCCCCGGTCCCGAGCAACGCGAAGGTCGTCAGCGCATAATCCACATCGTCCACCTTACCCGCATCGACCTGGTCCAGCATGAACTCACACACCCGATCGATCTCCCTCTCCCTCGGGGTCCCCCACCTAGGCCTAACTGCCGCAGTGTATATGCAGCGTATTGCGTACAGGAGCGGGCGCGCGAGGACCGTCGTTCGGAAGCGGTCGGTCATGTATGGCTCTGTGCCCCATTGTTCTTTGTGTGCGGCGACGATGTCATTAAAGCAGTGTTTGAAGTGCTGCATAGGGAGGACAACATGCAATGTGTGGAGGTAGGTGAAGTCGTAGGTGGTCGTGAAGGCCATAACAGCGGTACTGCAGTCGAGCGCTTGGGCAGCACTGGATAGATGCCTCTCTTCTCGCCCTCTCCAGGTGGGCATCTTGTCTATGATCCTCAGTGGAGACGGGATGCGCCTGAGGAACGAGACGATGCGGATGCCTAGCAGGCTACGCAGCAAGCCACCGCAGAAGCGTAGGACATGGCTTGTGCTGCGAAGTACCTGACGGGCCATGACGTAGATCGCCTGCGCTTGCGGAGTGCGGTAGCAGCAGTCCCACCGAAATAGTGGTAGCGTCACGACAATGACGAGAAACAGGAAAAGCATGCCAATCAGAATGGTTCCGACGATAGCGACGGTGCGGTGGAGCGTCCAAAGGAGTGCCAGCAAGCCTGAAAGGAACATGACAAGGGCGAGTTGCAGGAGTATAGACGGGATGAGGACAATGATTCCCACTTGCCACGTCCGTAGGGAGTTATGGCGATACTGGCGGCGTCGCGCATCTCGCGGAGAGGTCCCAGAAAGCCCGACGGAGATGTCGTGCAACCACTGCTTGACCATTAGTGCGATGGACGCGGAAGCGAGGCTGAAAATGAGGCTCGGGAACCATAGCGCGTTGATCAGGATCGCTGACGTTGGCGCATGAAATGGAGGCTGGATCTGATCTACAGGTCGAGCTGGATGGGTCGAGTTGACGAAGGACGGGCCGAGAGAAAAGCTGCTCAGTTGCTGTGAGATTTGTTGGAGGACAGCGAGAGATGGATCCACAATTGTCGGAAGGAGGAGCTGGTAAGACTGGACGTTGAATCCGGTGAGAACTGCAGAGAACAAACCAGCCTGTCATGGCTCATCAGCATGTATGTTCAAATACGGACGACGCGTGAGAGCTCACGTAGATGAGGATGTTGTCCATTTCGGCCTGCCACCTCTCTACCAATTCATCGTGGTGAGTCTTCACGGCTTCGGCATAGGACCTCCACACATCTGCTTTTCGTTCGGCGGTGAATTCCTCTTCTAGTTCTTGTCGAAGTTCCTCCCGGAGCTCCTGAGCGCTAGTTAGAACTCTATCCACGATAAACGCCGCGATCAAAGTCGCACCCTGACATTGAGGGACGGCTCTTGGGAAGGAGTATCATATTCCCTTTCGCCTGCCTGTAGGGACGCCTGTGAGATCGGTCGTCCATCGTCCATGTAATATGCGACAAGGCTCATACTGATGAAGTCACGGTTCCCTCAACATCCGACTCTGTGAAGTAACTTGTGATTTTCGGGTGTGCGGAGGCTTCCATCTTGACAGAAGGGATGGCAGGGGTAGTATGCTTGGAGAACAGGCGAAGACTTTAGAGTAGATCATTTTTAGCAGAAGGCTCTTATAACGACCGCGCGCCAAAGAAGCTACCCCGCTTTTGTGTTCCGAGGATGAGCGAAGCATCAACCGACGAAGGCGAGAAGGACCCAAGAGGCAGTGGATCACGCGACCTTCCCCATGGTCGTGCGACCCCGTACGGACCTCTCAAGCGCAAAACAGGCAGCTACTAAGCATCCATGGATACACACCCAAAGAGTTCATTTGAGTCACTTGTTGCTCAGAGATCAATGAGCGTATTCTAACACACTACAGTGAGGTTCGTTTACGTGTTAGATTATCGTGAGATTAGATTTGTTACCCAATCGACTCACCCTCAAGGCGTGGGAGATGATCCACGCCCAAGTCCCCACATGCAATGCAATGCGATGCACCGACACATAGCGACAGGTCGAAGATATCGGGATACAAAGCAGTTGATACCAGGATGCAATAATCATACAACAGACGAAACCACAGTCTTATTTCTTCATCAGACGTCGCGCGTGTACAGCCAAGTTGATACACACCATGCTCACCCAGCTTGATCCCAGTGCCCCACTCTCGCCGAACTCATTCATCGTCTTCCAAAGTAAGGTCGATTACCACCGCGCCAAGCTGCGTCGCCGGCCCGGGTTCCTCCTTCTTGATGTTTCGCGCGTGCGACTGCGATCCGGATTGCGACGCAGAAAGAGACTTTCGCCGCGCAGCCCTCGCCAACTTCTCCTGCAGTTGCTGGATCTGGCTCTGGATACATATCGCATGAGCATGCGCAAATCGTTCCCCCGAGAGACGTGAACAAACCTGGAGCACTTCCAGATCCTCCTCTTCCTCGTCCTCTTCCTTCTCATCTTCGGACGGCTCGTCCTTTACAATCACCGCTTCTGCGACTTCTTCCTCTTCCTCGTCGTCATCCGAAAGCTCATCCTTCACGATATCAGGCTTGACATCCTCTTCATCAGACAGGTCGATCTTGAAGATGCGAGGTTTGACGTCCTCCTCGTCGATGTTATGTATGTGCCGGGCACGCTTAGCACGGTGGGCGGGCTGCGCATCTCCATACCCTTCTCCGTCTGACGACGGACGTCTCTTGAGCTTCCGGTCGGGTAGTGCGGGCTTCCTGTCTGCAGCTGGGAGGGGTATGGGAATGATGCCCTGCGCTTGGAGCAGAGCTACGGCACTACAAGTTCAGCAAACACAGAACACACTCACGAGGTGAGCATATGCGCTCACCTTTCGGGCGATACCGGAAGACGAACTTTGCGACCGGGCCCTCGCGAGGATTGAGCGGCGTACTGGACGTTTGCGTCCTGCTCAGCGGTACTTGACGATTAGCGCCCAGCCTAAAACATCCCACTAAGTCAACGCGCTCCTCTCGACGGTCTGTGATGTATGAGCACGTACGATACACAATGCACCCCCGCCTTCTTACTTCGCTCGTGCACTGCTTCTACAGGCCGGAACTTGCCCATCGTGTGCGGGACAGATCTGTACTCCGCGCGAATGCGTATGACAGAGACTTCGATCTCGCCCAGCGCGGCGTGCGAGGCGAGGGCGTACATATGCTCCTCGTCGTCTGACGTTCAGAATCAGCAACACGACGAAGAGGTGGGGGGAGGGATATGAACGCACCCGTAGTCCGGAGCGGAGCGAACTGGAACGGCTGCCGAGTCGTCGTACTCGTCCGGACGCCCCACCGCAAGCCTTTGCCCCCTGGGCGGCACCTGTTGCCCCCCACAGCCCTCCCGTCGACCTTTGTGACAAAGCGGAGATGGCTCTGGTTGACGTAGTCGCGCCATTCAATGCTGAACGTCTGATGATCGGACAATGGTTAGCAAACAGGCCAGGAGGACAACACTGGCTATACGAGGACGTGCCTCGCCAGTCTCGCTGGGTATGTAGCATGTGATAGTATTTCGATCTTCTCCTTTGCGCTCCGTCTTGTATTCGGGTAAGGACTTGCCATCGCACGAGATCCAAACCGTATAGCCGTTCAGGTGCATGGCGATTGAGTGTTAGCTACGGAGGGTCGAGCAAACGTCGCCACCGCGAAAGGGGTCGCCTCAGATAGTGTTATAGCGCTATACAGTCCCTATACCCGTCTAGGCAGGGAACAACAAGGTGGTGTGGCCGGGAGAGGCGTGGTGGAGGAGAACAAAGAGCGTCGGAGGTGGCAGTGTCGGAGTGTGAAACGTGTCGCGACGCGCACATACGCGACGCGACAGAACACGTGACTGGGCCCTCCCGTTTTTGTTTTGGACAATGATTATTGTCCAGGGTCTATGACAGCGTAACTCGTGCCACCCCCTCGCCGCTTTACATCTGCTTTGTCTCTAGTAGTATATAGGTTAAGGGCTCGCAGCCCAGGATCCTCGTCCCCTCGCCCTTCGGGAGCTCGCGCTCCTCGAGCTTTCGTTTTTTGCCCGCTGGTTGGTGCACACCACGTCGTTCACGGTGTTGCCCAATGGGGACCACCAGCTCCTTTCTTCGGCGATCCGCTCGCCACCCCTCCGGGCATCCGTGTCCTCGCCACTCGCCACTCCTCCGGGCAGCTCGCTGCGCCCTCTCGTCGTTCCGCCTGCCCTCCGGGGCCTCTTACGCGGTGATCCGCTCACTGCTTCCTCCCCAACCCGGCCCCCCGCCCGGCCGCATCATGCTCACTCCATCCCTTCTCCTCGGGCCGGCCCGCCCT